TGAAGTTACATTCCCAGACATTTAAAGTGGGAAACAAACAAACGACCCACAGAAATAGTGGTGTTGCCATCACTGTGAGAAGAATATGGGCTAAATTCATTTTGGTTTTAAAGATAGTGTGGACGAAAGGGGCCACATGCTGACCTGACAAGCTCAGGAGAGGCCTGCATGGCTGTTTTGCAGACTCGGAGACCTAAAGTAACCACAAAGGATGGTCTGAAATTAAACCTTAACTAAAAGCAGTTAAGGTGGGCAGTTACATCCTACGCTGATATCATCACTGATAAGGTCAACCTTTACTGTAACTAAGCCTATCTGTCTTTTTGCATCTAAGATAACATACCCTTGAAATGTCTGGGTAACTTGTGACTTCTCTTTTTATGGAGCCCCTGGGGCACAACCAGGTGTGCAGGGTCCCAGGACAGATACCACAAACCCCTTCATTATCATGTTAATTGTTCCTGCACCCATCTAAGTATGTGTCCATCATTTTACTTTTTATCCTATCACAGAACTTTCCCCGCTTCGCTTAATCCCACCTCCTTAAATCTGTCACCAATGAATTTCATGTATAAATATGTAACCCCGCCATTCTTCGGAGCACTATCTCAATTCGTTGAGGTTCTGCTTCCCGGCATATGTCGACAGTTTGGCTCAAATAAACTCACAAAATTCTTTACAGGTTTCAATGGTTTTTTTACGTTGACAATAGTGACATCAAGGTTGTTGTTTGGAACTGGGGAACCTGAGAAAGAAGATACCTATCAAAGACTCTTGGTGGCTAAATAGACTCAAATTTAAAGGACAGGCCCTTGCAGCCATATCTATAGGAGGAGGGGAGCAGGGGGTGTGCGGGTTCACCAGGAGGGCACTTCAATGAGAAGATTGCACTGAACTGCCTGCCTGCACTGTGTTCCTGCATCTGAGCCAGCCCTTAGAAAGGAGTCCCGAGAATATATTTCAATCTTTAAGACTGAGGCTTTCCCCATTCAACTGGAACTGTGCACTTCTATCCTTATCAGCATTTTCACTAACCATTCAGAGCAGCTCCATTCCGACCAATCAGGACAGTGCTTTTTGGAGCAATGAAACTTTGAGGACTTGGAGTTGTCCTTTGCATGAGGATGGACCAATCAGAGACCAGGGGTAGGGACTTCTCTCTATTTAAGCCAGCTTCCTTCTGGCTCTGGGAGCACACTTTCTCTTTCCACTCAAGATTGTTTCCTGGAGAAACAGGAAGAGGGAGATGGGAATGGAGCAGGTGGAGCAGACCAGAGCAGACCAGAGCTGACTAGCCAGAGAGGGCCACCTTGCCACCTGCTGCTTCATGCTAGTAACTGAGCTGTATCACAATTGAACTGATTGCACTGAATAAAGTTTCCTTCTTCCCTGCACCCTAAATTGGGGATTCCTGGTGGCATTGAACTGGCACCAATGACCATCAGCTGACAAAACAAAAACACAGAAAAACAAAATCAATTTGGAGTATATAGATGAGATTCAGAGGGGCTAGTTTGCCCTGTAAGAGGTGACACATTATGTCATCTCAGTGATTCACACTTAGGCAGGACCTAAGCCATAAGTTCCTTGCCAGACATCTGAGTTCACCTAGACTCGAAAAAGGTGCTCATCTCCCCCTGCTCACCCTCATCTAGGCTTCACTGGAAGTGCCCAGACTCCTGCTGTGCCTGCCCTGCTGCCCCACACTGCTCCTTCTGCAGCTCCGCCCCAGCTCCCAGCCACCCAGCACCGCCCTTCGATCCCTCCCCCTCCCCCTTCACCCAACCCCTCTGGCCAACGCCCGGTTCCTCCTCCTGCTGGCACAGAGCTGCACCCACCTCAGGGACTATATAAGGGCAGTGCTTGAGCTAAGGGCATTGACAGATCCCCAGCACCTCCCAGGCAGCGAGCAACCGGTGAGGTTCGGGCACCAGGCCCATTAGGGAAGTGGGACAGAGCCAGTGGGGGTTGCTCAGGACTGGGATCTGCCAGCTGCCTACTCCTGGCTCCGCCCTGGCCTTCGGTGGCCTGGGTACCCGCAGCCCCTGCGCTTTTGCTGGGACTGCTGCCTGCACCTCTGGAAATGGTGCCTGCACTGCTCATCATAGCCGGAGTCGACCCGGAAACAACCCCCAACCAACACCCTAATCGGGGGCGCGAGGGCTTCCTCGCTTGCGAAATACTGGGCGCCGCCTTGTGGCTGAAAGCCAGAGCCAAGCCTGAGATCATAATATTTTTATTCCTTCTCAACTCCCTGCCTCCCTGAGCAGTTTGGGACAGCTTTTAGGCAGCCCCAGGGGGCATAGCTTTTCAATGCTGCAGAGGGGGAAGGGAAGGGAAGGAGGGAGTGAGGGAGGGAGGGAGGGAGGGAGAGAGAGAGAGAGAGAGAGAGAGAGAGAAACATTGATTGCTTGCCTTCTGTACGTGCCCTGACTGGGGATGGAACCCACAGCACAGGTATGTGCCCTGACTGGGAATTAAACCAACAACCTTTCAGTGCACAGGAGGACACTCCACCTACTGAGTTACTCCGGCGGGGCCTATCCCCAAGGTTCTGAAATGCCTTCCTAGGAGGATACGCTCCCCCGTCCTCCAGGCTGATTATCACTAAAGCTGTCAGCCATTGTTTTGTTGTGAATATGTCACAATTTTTTTTGTTTGCTGAGGAGTAAAACAGATTGAGAACCATTGTGTTAGTGACCTTACGTAGGACCAACAAATGAGTGGGGTTTAGGGCACTTTGGGATTCCACATCCATTTATTCAGCAAATATGTATTGAGTACCTACTGTGGATCAGCCACTATTATAGGTGCTATGGGCATAAAAGTGGAGATAAGAGTTCTTGTTTAATGGGTATAGAGTTTCAGATGTGCAAGATGAAAAAGTCATGGATATCTGTTTCTCAACAATGAATTTACCACTGAGCTGTGCACTTAACCATTGGTTGAGATGGTGAATTTTATGTTAGGTGGTATGTTTTTTATCACAATGAGGAAAAAAGTGAAGATACGGTGCCTGCCCTCGGGGGTTTTCATTTAAACTGGAGAGAATTATCTGTATAGGACCAATAATAATACATGCAATAAACACCCATCAGGGTGATTCCCAGCTCACAATGATTGCCCTACTTTGGGAACAGCCCCAACCACAGAGGTGTATCTGAAGTAATGATGTCCCATGTCCTTGTGACTTGACCCTGGCCTCTGGCCACCTCCGAGGGGCAGGCAACTAATCCAAGCTTTACCAATTTTTGAACCTTGAATAGAGAGATCAGGGACTGGAGTTGGTGAAAGCTGTACCTTAGTGGCAGTGCCCATAAACTCCAGTTACTGAGGCCCCCAGAACTGCCCAGTTTTCTGCCCTTTCAAAGGCCACGTTGGTTAACTCCATCTTTGGTTCTTAGAGCTACGGACAAATCCTTCCAATACAGCCCCCTATTTACTGAAGCTAGCCACAATTATTGTCTGCTGTTTTCCACAAAATAACTTCAATTAAAACCAAACCAGAAGTACTCCTTCTGGGAAATAAAAGTTGTCAATTTCCACAAAGCAAGTTTAATTTCTGTTTGCCTGAGGATACAGCGGTGAAGAAAGCTATGAGAGCCCGGGAGGTGTGCTGCTTCTTTTGCAGTGGGCAAATCTTTGAAGGCATCTTCTATCAATTCAGATTTTTCACTTTCTGTTTTGCATGCAACTTGCTACTCATTGATAGATGCCTGCTATTTCAGCACAAAATAACACAGGAATGCACCACACTGGAGAAGTTGGCGGTGTTTCCTTTTTGAGGGAAGAGGCCCCCATGTGGTTATATACTGTTGAGACCTAGCCCTGTGCCTGGCACAAGTGCCTGTGTGGGTAGGAAGGACTGAAGGAGAGGAAAGAAGTGAGGTATGGCCGCTGCAGGAACAGGGCCAAGCCCTGGGTGGTATGGCAGGTCCCTGTTACAGGGAGAAGAAACAGTAATGCCTGACCTTCCACCTGGCCTTCATGGGTACTGGGTGCACCACTTTGTTGAATTCTGAGAGGGGAACTCCAGCTCTCCTTGAAAGTAGGGGAAAGATTCCAAGGTGCCAGTAACTGGTCAAGGTCCTGCCTTGAATTCAAGTTTATCCATCTGTTCCAGCTGCAAATCTTTTATTTCAGCATTTTATGAAAAACCAGTGGTCTTTACCACTGCAGACATGAAAGCACTTTTATATTTCCCAAAACCCACTTTTTATTTTACCCCCTGGGAATAATGATTAGTTGCTTCTTGCAGGGTAATGTCAGCTTCTATTTTGAGCTTTATCCAGGGACTCCATTATCTCAGCAAAAAATAGTTTCAAGGGTTCCCATGCTTTTCCATTAAAGCAGATCTATCATTGCAACTGTGCAAACATTCCCTATCTTGGTGAGTAACTGGACTTTGTACATTGTGTAGGTTTATTCTTTGTGTGTTAAAATAAGGAACCAGCCCAGGACTCATAAAACCATGAAGGGATTCTTGATTTGTAATATGAAAATTACACTTTTGCTGAATGTTAAGTTTATAGATGTTATTTTTAAGTTACTGATGCTGATAGTGTAGTTTAAAAATCCCCTCAATTCTGTAATACCTTTGTGCTCCCACAAAGGTATTGAATTTTAATTTTACTTTTTATTTCTAAGAACTTTCATTATAACTCTATTTGATGCAGAATTTATATATGAATATACCAGTTATAATGTTGTTTGGAGAAAAAGCAGACATAGATAAATATTTAGCCTATTAACAACTTACATTCAAAGGAATATAATTATAAAAAGTTATATAAAAAGAGCTTTTAATGTAATTATGTCTCACAAAGTGATACATTTTAGATTCTTTATTTTTTTGTTCTCCAATGAAAGTTTAATAAAGTATTGGGCTGGGAATTATTGATAATTAGTAATAAAAGCATTAATTTAATTTGATAGAAGCAAATGTCAAGGAATCCGTTTCAAAATAAATGGCTATAGAAAGAATGCTTTCTCTATTTTAGACTCTTCACTTTGATGCAGTTAAGGAGATCCATTCAAGTTTTCAGAGTCTGAATGCTGATATTAACAAGCGCGGAGCTCCCTATGTTCTGAAACTTGCTAATAGGTTATACGGAGAGAAAAGCTATGAGTTCCTCCCGGCGGTTACTTTACATTCACATTCTAAAACTCACGAAACAGTGCAGACATTTTCCAGCACAATCAAGTCACAGAAGTAAGTTTTTATTTTTATAAACATTCAGAAAAAAGATACAGAATTTAACATATGGCAGTATCCCCATTAATGATTTGATTTCTTTGCTAATCTTCACAGGAAAAGATTGCCCCTGGCTGTGTTACTAAAGCAAGAATGAATTCCATAATTCACTTCCCAGAATAATCAGTGTATACTTATTTATGAAAATGTTAGCCAAAGGTCAGAAAAGAATTGGTAAATTTTATGTGACACCAAAACTACTGAACTTAAAATGATTAAGGTGGTAAATTTAGTGTTATGTGTTTTTTACCATAATGCAAAAAGTGTAAGGGTTAGAATGTTTTTGTTACAATGAAATTTATGTCTTTTAGGACAATTTGTACTGCTCTTAAGGATTTTAGAAAATCATTTCTGTATGTAGTAGGAGTTATTCCTGTTTTGTGTTGTTTTTTTTTCTTTATTTTAAACAGGAGTTCTTAGCTTCAACCCAGAAAATGTATGGTGCTGAACTGGCCAGTGTAGATTTTCAGCGAGCCTCTGAAGGTGCAAGAAAGGTGATAAACGAGTGGGTCAAAGGGCAGACTGAAGGTAAGAGAGTGGGCCGAATGTAGTCATTCATTACACACTGGCCGTTCCTTTCCTCCTTCCACTTTCCCAGCCTGCAGATGATTCCCTGCCCTTTTCCTCTGCCCTCACCCTCGTGCTGGGGGTAAACTCGGCCACTGCCCAGTGCCAGAAGCTTTTACATGTGGAAATTCCTCAAAGTAGGAAGTTCAACATGCTTTCACTGAAGCAGCTAAATATTTTCCCCATAAATTCACAAAACCACATTTTAAAATTAAAAGTAACATTGAATGTAGGATAACAAGGATAAACCTTTGAGGGAAATCCATCCTGACCCAGATTATAGAAAAGAATCCTATATAATAAAAGCCTAATATGCTAAGTGTCGGGTCATCAGGTCGGTCGTCTGTTCAACCAAAGCATAATATGCTAGTGATATGCTAAGGCCACCCAATTGCTCCTTATGATATGCATTGTCCACCAGGGGGCAGACACTATGACCAGTAGGTTAGCTTGCTGCTGGTGTCTGGCCAATTGGGAATGAACATAACAGGCCGGACACTCCCTGGTGCCTTCTCCTGGTCCCTTCCTGGCTGGCCAACCTCCCGCATCTCTACCCAGCCCCAATCGTGCACCTGTGGGGTCCCTCGGCCTGGCCTGTGCCCTCTTACAATCCAGCACCCCTTGGGGGATGTTGGAGAGCGGGTTTTGGCCCGATCCCACTCAATGCAGGAGCTGCTCCATGGTGGTCAGTGCATTCCCACAGGGGGAGTGCCACTTAGCCAGAAGCCGGGCTCACGGCTAGCAGTGCTGCGGCGGTGGCAGGAGACTCTCCCACCTCTGTGGCAGTGCTCGGGATGTCTGACTCACGGCTTAGTCCCACTCCCCAGACGGCGAGAAGGCGCTGGCCAGGCTGTGGGACACCACGGTCCTCCTCCCAGTGCACGAATTTTGTGCACGGGTTCACTAGTCTATAATAATAAGAGCGTAATATGCTAATTAGACCAGATGACCTTCTGGACGAAGCTGCAGTGGCAGCCACCTAAGCAGCTGTGGCAGCAGGCCCTGAGCCCCTTGCACGATTTTCGAGCATTAGGCCTCTAGTATTCTCATACATGTGACACAAACAGCTGTGGCCATAAGTATTTTGGCAAATGTCTTTTCTAAGCTATCAGGGGTGGCTCCATCTCAGCTGTTTCTCCATTACAACTCTCTCTAACCTCGTCAAGGTCTGAGTCAAGGCACCTACCAAACACCTGTCTCCCATCCAAGGCATTCTTCATGGCCATGCTGCGGTCACAGGGTAACTGGTATTTCAGAGGACTAACTGTCCTAGCCTTTGGTTATCTGTGAAAATATTTTCTATGAGAGCAGCTTCCACTTGCAGGCTTTGAAGAAGTAATTTATTTAAAAATCATTTTCATTAAGAAATAATTTTTATGCCTCCTAAAGAATGGCCATTCCCAAAAGAAGGCTCATTGTTTCTCATACAATGCAGAAAAGATTGTCCTGTTTTTAACTTTTAAACCCTTTAGTTGGTTTATTTACACTCAAAACACACTGGTACAGCTTCCCTAACTTAATACATTAATGGGAATTAAATAAAACTATGACTTTGAATTGCAGTTCAATGCAGTTCAAAAATGGAATGCTGATACGTGAATTTAAAAAAACAAACAAAACTTACTTTATTTCTTTAGGGAAAATTCCAGAATTGTTGGCTGCAGGCGTGGTTGATAATATGACCAAACTTGTGCTAGTTAATGCCATCTATTTCAAAGGAAACTGGCAGGAGAAATTCAGTAAAGAGGCCACAACCGATAAACCTTTCAGATTGAATAAGGTGAGGTGATGTAATTATAAAATTGCTTTTTGCTCTAAGAGAATGCAGATAATACTGTGAGTGACTGGGTTTTTTCAACTGTTCAGAAAGACACAAAAACAGTGAAAATGATGTATCAGAAGAGCACATTTCCATTTGGCTACATCGAGGACCTTAAGTGCCGGGTGCTGGAGCTGCCTTACCAAGGCAGGGACCTCAGCATGGTCATCCTGCTGCCAGATGACATCGAGGACGAGGCCACAGGTCTGAAGAAGGTAACGGCTCCCACTCTCATGCTTCATGTTTCCTTCTAACAGATCGGTTCAGACTGTGTGTATGTTGTGTGGTAGTAGGTCATCAATGTTTGCTACTCTGAAGCCCTAAGATTAACTTTTCAGGGACTGTCAGTGAACAGTCGTGGTGGGGACTCCTAAGACTCTATATTAAATGTAACATGTCAATGGCAGCTCACAGGAATTTTCTTAAATAAACTTTAGAGGAAAGTGCACAAAAATTAGAATTGTTTTACTGAAACAAATTTGTTAAAATTAAAAATTCCAAAACATTTAGAATAGGTAACTTCATCTTCTACTATGAGATTCTGATAGATGGGTTCTGTCTGTGTGTATGTGGTGTGGTAGTAGGTCATTAATATTTGCTACTCTGAAGCCCTAAGATTAACTTTTCAGCCACTGTCAGTGTAAGGTTGTGGTAGGGGACATCTAAGAATCTATATTAAATGTAACATGTCAGTGGCAACTCACAGGAATTTTCTTAAATGAACTTTAGAGGAAAGTGCATTAAAATTAGAATTATATTATTGAAACAAATTTATTAAAATTAAAAATCCGAAAACATTCTTAGTAGGTATCTTCAACTTGTACTATAAAATCCTATTATTACACTGCTCATTCTCATCACAATTCATATAGATTGTGTATTAAATTTCCAACAGCCACGTGGTAGAAAAGACCCATATGACACACTAGGTTGAAAGCTAAGCCTATGTTCTCATATGAACTTTGTATGATGTTTCTATTTTATTTGAGTTAAAAGTGAAGACACTTCTTGTCAGGCTAGGACTAGGCAAAACTGTGAAGAATATGGTTTTCTTTAGTATCTCTAGCCTGCTGTGTGGTTTTTCTCTACCCTCTCCCTAACCAAACTTGTTATCAGGAAGAGGTTCAATATTAATTATTGGCATGTATGAAGTATGTATTAAAATCAGTATGTTCCTTCTTTTAATTGTATTTTCATATTTGTCTCTTCTGTGATTATAAAAAAAATTCTCCAGCCTCATAAAAGAGATAATCAGCATCAGTAGAACAAGGGGAATGATGGGCCCATTCTAGTCCAATAGTAGTAGTAATATGGTAATGATAATAGCTGACATTCTTGTGGCTCTTACTAGTACTGTGTGCCAAGTGCTTTGCATACATTAAATCATTTAATGCTCACAACAGTGCTATAAGGTAGGTACTATTATTAACCCTCTCCCAATTTTAGATGAGGAACTAGTCCCTTTTCTTTTTTTACCCACAAGCTAAATCTATTAGAGATTACTTCAGCACAGTGAGTTCACAGATAACCACAGTGATCAGTAGGGTTCAGAATAGAAGAAATAGAAGAAAACTTTTGAGTTTTACCTTGCATCAATCAACCAGTTAAAGTAATAACAGCCATCTTGGCCTATCACAGTATCCAGTATGGTAGGGGTTTAGGAAAGCCTGGGTGGATGGATGGTTGGGTGGGTGGATGGATGGGTAGTTGAAGCATCTGATGTCCAAAGTCCCTGTTACTTGGGCCCTTAATGGCTTGGACCACATCTCTCTTCTATTATCACCAGTTGCTGAAAAGAAATGAAATCCTCCAAATGGAATCTATTTTGGTACAGAACGAGAAGGAAACTAATTAGCAACTGATAACATCAGTCCATTCATGTAAATAATGTGTATTACCTTGCTTATGTGAAAGAGTTCTCACCTCTTCTTTTGCCCTTTCTCATTTCAGATAGAAGAACAATTGACCCTGGAAAAACTGCATGAGTGGACCAAACCTGAGAATCTGAGTTCCATTGAAGTCAACGTCCACCTGCCCAGGTTCAAGCTGGAAGAGAGCTACAACCTCAACTCTCACCTGGTCAGCCTGGGTATAGAGGATCTCTTTAATAGCAAGGCTGATCTGTCTGGCATGTCAAGAGCCAGAGATCTTTTTATATCAAAAATTGTCCACAAGTCATTTGTGGAAGTTAATGAGGAGGGCACAGAGGCAGCAGCTGCCACAGCCGGAATTGCCACCTTCTGCATGCTCATGCCAGAGGAAAATTTTGTGGCCGACCATCCATTCATTTTTTTCATTCGACACAATCCCTCAACTAACATCCTGTTCTTAGGCAGACTTTCTTCCCCTTAGAGACTGTGGAAACCCAAGGCCAAGCTCAGACTTTATTACTGGCCCTTTCAATGGTGATAGTTTTCATATATCTTCTACAATAAATCTACCACCCCAAAACAAATCTCTAATTTCCTTTGTAATGTCAGCTTTGTTGGCTATTTACACCCATTAACTTTGGCATAGGTATCTATTTTCCTTTCTTTATATTGAACAATTCAGTGATTGCTTTTGAATGCATCAATCAGATATGTAGATTCTTGACCGTGTAGTAAATTAAGAAACTGCTGTACTCTCTTGATAGCCATGAGAAAAATTATAGTACTGTAATTTGTTTCACAGATAGACTTCTGGAAGCTATGATAGAGAGACAGTCATGGTTGAAGGGAGGCTTAAAAGCAGACATTCAATAGAAATATAGGAAAGCAGCCCAATTAAGGGTTGTATTATGAAGATAAATTTGCCTTGGCCAGTGTTTCTGACCCTTTGTTCTACAGGATTAGTATTCTGTTATAGCCCCTCTTATGTCAAAAAATTAAAGAGCTTATTTTTCTTTATCCACTTGGTTTATAGTTTGTGTGGGATCACAAGGAGTGAAGAAGTAAGTGTCTTATCTTAAAAGTTGCCATGAAACTACAACAAGAGAAGTAAAGTAGGGGAAACTGTTAACTTAGAGGGGGTGCAAGGATCACACTGTTACCAGCTTCTTATGTGTTTTCTGATAAGGGCTCTTGATTTCCATCATCTAGTCCAGATTGTGATAGCAATGGGATGGCTTTATGCAATGCTGGATGGGGGAGGGGCTCTGTGATCAATATAAACTTAGTCAAATGCACTCCTTGGAATGGGGCTTGAAATGCTGCATTTTCTTGCTCCCACAAAGCTGGTGGGCTGGCTAATAATGTTTCCTAAGATTCTGCTAGCCAGACTGATCTCAGTCCTGTACTTGTTTCTATCTGATCTCAGAAAAGACAGGACTAATGGGATTCTTGGACTGACAATACTGACATCCATGATGATAGTCAGTGACTCCATGAAAAAAGAAAGATTTTAGCAAATTTGTGACAAGCTTTCCTTCCTTTTTTTCTTAAAATACTTACTGGCACCTACAACATTTAACGTTGTCTTAGCTATAGGAAAAACAAGAAAAGCAAGTCAGTGCATTCTGAAATCCTTTTCTTAGGGCTCTTATGCTAGAATCTACCCAGTGATTTAGAGTAAATTGTGCTAGGTAGAAACTGAACTGCAAGGCCCCATGCAACTCTGCTCAAATCCTTCTTTTATATGAGAGAACAGGCTCATGGACTAGTCATAAATAAGTTATTGAAGGTTAAAACAAGTAGTAAATTTCAGAGCAGAAACTAGAATTCATTAAATATTTTTTGTGGAGAACATCTAATTCTTGTAATGGTGAACTAGATAACTCAGACCTTTTAACACAACCAAAAAACCAAACCAAGCAAGTTGAGCCCAAAGGAGGGGAGCTGCCATGATTATGAAGTACTCAGCAATCCTGGGTAAATTGGTGACTATGGAAACTGGGGCCACCTTTACCCCGGGGTCATTTCCCAATCCAACTGAGGTAATAGGACATGAAGAAGGGATTTTGATGATGTTCAAGGTCAGGCAGGCAGAATTTTGCCCTGTCATGTATGGGGGTCCCATTGTGACCCTGTGCTTTCATGTGGCAACATTAGAACTACACTCTAGGAGTATGACTACAGCAGCTCAGAATGTAGCCCTGATGTAAGTCCTTGGACAGTCCCGCCAATTCTAGTCCCTGGAATTGGATTACATCTGTTCTGGTTTGCTACTATCCAGAGGCATATGGAAGAAGCAAACAAAAATCATCCCTATGGAAAGATTGCCCATAAACCTCAAATCCTACATAATAGAAGCCTAATATGCAAATTTTCCCCTTGGGTGGTGGTTTGACTGGGGGTTCTCCTGGGAGAACAGTAGTTCGACTGATGGGTATGACGTGTGCTGACCACCAGGGGACAGCGCAGACATGGTGGTCACTGGCCATGTGGCGCTGGCAGCAGGTAGCAGTGGAGGTGCTGCTGCTCTGATGGGCCTTGATGAGAGCAAGAGCAGGACCAAGACAGGATAGTGGAGCAGGTGAGTTAGCAACACCAGGTCAAGGCCGGTTCAACCAGCTGAAACGGGGGTATGCGGGAGGGGGAGGACGCAGAGCCACCTCCCAGCTCCCAGGTGCTGAGGGTGAAAGGGCAAATAGCAATATTAAAATATTTCTTCTAATTATTTCCCTTTCTATGTGCATGAATTTGTGCACCAGGCAACTAGTTATTTTTATAATCAGCTTTTTAAGTACACTATTTAGCACATAATCAAAGATAAGTGGGATGGGTGAGGAGCTATGACAACATGAATAAAAATCAGCACGAAAAAACAGATAATGCAAACAGAAGTACAGGGGCTATAATATTGGAATAATCACACACAAATTATAAAACAACACTGTTTTATCAAGTTGATAAAAACCAAGGTTAAACATTTCAGCAGATAACTAAAAATTTAAAGATACTGCATATTTAAATGAAAATGAAATAGAGCCCAGCCAGGTATGGCTCAGTTGTTGAGCGTTGACCTATGAACCAGGAGGTTACGGTTTGATTCCCAGTCAGGGCACAAGCCTGGGTTATGGGCTCCACCCCCAGTTGCGGGTGTGCAGAAGGCAGCCAATCAATGATTCTCTCTCATCACCAATGTTTCTATTTCTCCCTCCCTCTCCCTTTCTCTCTGAAAAGAATTTTAAAATATTTTCTTTAAAAAGAACAAAAATGAAATAGAACTCCAAAACTCAAAAATATAACACATGAAAAACTAAAGAGATAAATTTACAAACAAATTAAACATGAAAAAAGTGGATTGTCAGACAAGAAAAAATTACCCATAATTTCTTCCAGAAAGACAACTATAATGAGTGAAGCCCAGAAAGACAAAAGAATGGAAAATATAAAAGGAAGGATAAGAATAGTTAAAATAGTCAGTAAGATGTTTGACAGGAAAAGATAAGGCAAGAGACAATATGGTGCAGAATTATATTTAAAGATCTAACATTCAAAATGTGTATTCTAAAACTTATATGCTAAAACATTAATTCACAGATTTTAGAAATCCTACTCACCCCCCAAGCAGGATACTACAAAGAAATCCATCTCTACTCACATTCCAGTGAAACTACAGAAAACCAAAGACATGATCATGAAAGATATAAAAACAGCCAAAGAAAAAAGACAAACTACCCTCAGAGGAGCAATAGTTAGAAGGACAATACATAAATCAACAGAAGTTATGAGAACCAGAGATTATAGACTGATTTAACATGCTGAAAAAACATCACCCAAACTCCTGCCAATCCAGAATTATTCTATACCCAGGAAAAATATTCCTTAAGATTTATTCAGACAAACAAAAACTGAGAGAAACTTACAAAAATTCTAGAGAATATTATTTATGCAAAAGGAACATGAGAATTGTTAGAAAAGAACAAGAGCTGGAAAAAAATTTAAATATAAATTTAAATAAATATTGACCATATAAAACAAAAGTAATGCCTGCGGAATTTCAAAAATACATAAAATTAAAATAAAGCATACCATAGATGGTGGGGAAGAAAAATAGAGGTAACATTTCTGGAGTCCTTGCATTTTCCATGAAGAGAATAAAAGTACAATTACCATCACTAGCTGCTTAATGACAGTTTGGTCAACAACAGAGTGCACCTAACATGGTGGTCCCACATGATCATAATGGAGCTGAAAATTTCCTATTGCCTGGTGATGTTGTA